TGTTCATTACAATACTTTCTTCCACAGTCAAATAAGAAACAAAAAAACAAAAAGCTACTCAATTTCATGCTCCATAGGATCAATAATTGAAAATGTAATAAATCTTTCAGTAAATGATTTAAAGATGTAAAATCATTAAATTTTAACTTAGTATTTGTCATAACAAGTTTTTCTAAGTAGAATTAATGATTGTGAGATTGATCAATAACACCATATTGATTGGTTAAACATTACCATGTAGACTAGAAACTAAGATGAAATAGTTATTGAATAATTTTCAATTTTTAACTGTTATTCAAGTGAAAACTGTCCTGTTAAGTCTTAATTCGAATGGAACATATCGAATAGACATTAGGGGATGATTTTTTTTATTGAGATTATGAATCGACTTGGACAACTATTGAAAACCTGGCATCATTAGACATCTGTTTCATATTATTGTTATTTTGAAGTTTAGGATATCTACAACCCAGCCATCGCAGATCTAACCCAGGACATTTGGCCTCGCATGCGAACGCTTAACTTCCAGTACACTGAGCTAAGATCCAACAGTGTACAAGTATAAATTCGTTCATCAGACTATCGCTAAATTGGAAAGAAATGAATTGTACATATAGCAGAAGTAATCAAATACATTTAATTCCTAAACGATGTTTTATTTTTTAACTGATGAGAAGCGTCATTGTCGAATTAAATATTTGATTTATAGTCTATTATCAAAAGTTTTGGTGTCTTTTTATACTTGAAATCCTGGTGATACCTGAAACATTTGACCTTCATAGAAATATATTTCACGTAAAAACACAATTATTTTTCACATTCTCATTAAATGAAATAAAATAATGTAGCATAGAATACATGAATTTTGTATGAGATTTTAGTATTTTAATGGTTGAATTCATGAGTCAATTAAAGTTGAATCACCATGGGAATCCTGGAGGCACTGGATGGCCGTTTCGTCCCAGTATTGGACTCCTCAGTAGTGTGTATCAACGGTCCCGTTCGCGGGATTTGAATCTAGGACCTTTGGTCTCGTGCGCGAACCCTTAACCTCTAGACTACTGAGCTGGCCGGTATTCGAAGGTGTTAACGTCTAACTTCAACCAATTCACGAAATTTCGCATTCGTCCACCAATGTTTTCAGTAAGTTACTGTTTTCGAACAGACCCCAGTTTTAATGACGTAATGTACAAGTTAGATCATATAAGATATAGATGTCCATTTCTTATCAGCAGTTCAATCATAAATATCGATTCAATTTAAACTTCTTCTGAAGATTGTAAGTAAAAAAAATTAATGAAAATTCAAAATTCAAAAATCCTACATTGGACTTGACAGCTAAATGTGCTTACATCCCAGAGTTGATATCCACTCTAATACCTTTCTCCCCACTGGGTAGCTACTATTTTCTTTTATTAGAGTACTTGTAACTTAGTGACAATATTGCGTCATTCCTTTCAAGATTCACGTATACAAATAGTGACTGATCAAAACTCAATCTTTTTATTCCGTTTTATAAGAAAAAAAACTTTCAATGTAAATCGATAATAAAAAGATTATCGTGTGAAGATATTTATTAACTACTTAGTACAATCATCTGAAGTTCGATTCTTGATGTTTTTACAGTGTTAATATTTGTGGTGGTCGATATTCGATATCATCCCTTAACTTCGCATATTGTTCGTCCTGGTAACCCTTACTCGATAACGCCCCGACAGTGCATAAATCAGAAGGCGAATACGAAGGGTTGATTGCGTTTATCATTGGAACACACACAGATATCCAAAAATTGCAGGCACGTTAAGCAAGCATGAAAGAGTAGTGCCGTAAAGCAGGCGAGTGAGCGTAAGAGTTGAATGAGCGAGAGGTCAATCGATCAAGCTAAAGAAAGATTGGACAACTGGACAAACAGCACTAAAAGGTTCAATACAGCCTTCCTTCGAGATATTGACAAGCTCCACGAATTCAAGATAACTCTCAACAACAGGTTCCAAGCTCTACAGGATCTACTGAAAACACAAGAAACTACTTTGCAGGACAACTGGAAAGGGATAAAAAACGCACTAACTTAAAGTATAATCTTTATAAAATTTGAAAGTCTTGTATTCAATCTAATTTGGAATTAAGGATGAGTGATACCGAGATGTCCACAACTGAAGTAATAAAATTTTTCAATACATTCTAATCTATAGTATTCCTTTAGCTCAAACTAGTTTGTAACCATTGATCTATGCAACTAAGATAATATCTATTGAATTATAGTATTTTTGAAAAAAATTATTATTATTCTTTTAATACTCTAGTAAAATCATTTAATCACGAGTATTTTTACCAGAAGCCTCTGCATCGATAAGCCTCCACATTCACAAAGGAAAAAGCAAGATTCTCAAATACAACACGGAGAACACCGATCCAATTACACTTGATGGCAAAACTCTGGAAGAGGTGGAAACGCTCACGTACCTGGGGAGCATCGTTGATAAACAAGGAGGATCGGATGGAGATGTAAAGGCGAGGATTGGCAAAGCAAGGACAACATTTTTACAATTGAAGAACTCAAAACAACTCTCAACCAATTTCAAGGTCAAAATCTTTAATACGAACGTCGAGACAGTCCTACTGTATGGAGCTGAAACGTGGAGAACTACTACGACCATCATCAGGAAGGTACAAGTATTTATAAATAGTTGTCTACGCAAAATACTCAACATCCATTGGCCGGATACTATCAGCAACAGCGTTTTATGGGAGAGGACAAACCAGCTTCCAGCTGAAGAGGAAATTAGGAAAAGACGTTGGAAGTGGATCGGACATACACTAAGGAAATCACCAATGTGCATCACGACTCAATCCCTAACTTGGAATCCGGAAGGGAAGCGGAAAAGCGGAAGGCCAAAGAACACACTACGCCGGGAAATAGAAGCCGATATGAAAAGGATGAAAAGCAACTGGAAAGAACTGGAAAGGAAGGCTCAGGACAGAGTTGGATGGAGAATGCTGGTGAGCGGCCTATGCTCCTCGACGAGGGGTAACGGGCGTAAGTAAGTAAGTTAGCGGAATGAATACATGCGTAGGCAGTAAGCAATGCTCAAGCGTACATAATAAAGGTACAATAGTATAGATAGATTGTTGTTGTACGAATGACCGTCCGTTAAATAAGTTAACAAAAGGGCTTGGACAAATTACATATAAACAAACTATGTGAGCTGCTATATATTAACTATTTCAATGAAAACAGAATCCCATCCGTTGAGAAGTTTCATAGCTCTGTGAATAACGTTGAATAAAAGTACAATGTTTTATTCGAAATAAGTTTCTTTTTTTGCTTGTATCTTCTCATCGTTATTTAGAACTACAATTAATCAGTCTTTTGTTGGCATTTGTGCATCTTTTGAGGACTGCTTAAATATTGCCTGAAGTAAACAACAAGTGAATATAACTTCACCCCATTGTACAAGCAGGTGACTATCAGGACTCAGTAGTTAAGTGGATAACGCAGTGACGTTTGAAAGGAACGGTACTAGGTTCGAGTCCCAGATTGAACATCAAATCTGAGATGCAGGTACATCCAGCTGACGAGACCCAAAGAGGAGGAGGCGCGCTTCCAGGATTCCACTGTTAACCATTATCCATATCTGCTTATAAGTTTTTTTTGTTAGGCAATCATTAAAATACGAATATGAAGAATATAATGAATATGACAAGTTTATTCATTTACAGTTTTTTTCTTTCTGTATGATTAATTTTAATGTACAACATATGAACTTCTTGGACATTTTTTAAAGTCAATGTGAGGATTTGTATTCAATTATCAGAAATCGGTTGTGAAAAACAACATTTTCAAGAAATTGTATGATAGATAGATGAAAGTAAGTCACATTTGATTATTATACATTCCGTATCTCTTAAGTTTGATTCAGGTAGACATGATAAGTAGTAGTTAATTGGAATAGAGGCCAATGAAATATGTACTGACGAATAATGATTGAGAAATGTAATGTTTTTACATAGATTAGATGATAACAAATTGATCATTGTATAAAGATCGTAAACACCGTGATGTATGCTGATTTCTTCTAAATAAGTTTTAGATGAAGCAGTTATTTAGTGGTAACTAATTGTTAGTACTAAGAACAAATCTAATAACTCCGTTAAGGTATCCGTTGTGTGATTAGTGGAAGAAACAAATTTCTACTTTCTAAATTAACTAAACGGAAAAGCTCACGCCAATTACACACACTTTATTTAATTAAACTCATAACCCGTTTAATTATATGAGCAAGGTAATAAACCACAACTCAACAAATACAATTGATATTAATATGTGCATAACTTAGGGCATTTTTAATATATAGCTGCTAGTAAAACTTAGGAAGCAATGGACAGTTGTTTCACTCTAGTATGAGACTCGTAAGCAATACATACTCAGCTTTTCTAAGGAGAGTTGATTGAAGTTCGACAAGAGAACCATTGGAAATGCAGTTAAGTGGTTCAATGGTCAAACGTTAATCGGTTCAATTAGGGTTTCTGGGTTTAATCGCTTGTGGATTCACAACTGTACACTACAGAAGAGTCCAATACTTGAACGAGACACATGTCCACCTCTTCCTGGTTTTTAATAGTTATTTGACTAATGATTTAAATTATAAAGCATGAAATTGTCACAAACCGTTTACAAAAATAAAGACCATATGTTGTCTAGAAACTTATCTCAACAGGTAATTCTAGGAGTTTTAATGAAAAGCCGTGACCAGTAAAGTTAAGTAGTGTTGAATGTAAAGAAATCATCTACCAACGGAGTTTAAAAATGATCACTTAATATGGCAAAATAACAAACTAAACATATAAACCAATAGGATTCAGATTAGTGGCAAACACTAAAATTAATAAACACAAGACCTAAAGGTTTAGGGTAAAACATACTATTTGGTCTTGAAGGCCACATGATCAACAACACAAGCTTGAATAAGATCAGTTTTCGTAAATTAAATTCAAAAACAATGGCCGTTAAAGAACGTAGTTTAGCTCAACACAATTACTCTAAGTTTATTTCATCATCATCATCATCATCATCATCATCATCATCATCATCATCATCATCATCATCATCATCATCATCATCATCATCATCATCATCATCATCATCATCATCATCATCATCATCATCATCATCATCATCATCATCATCATCATCATCATCATCATCATCATCATCATCATCATCATCATCATCATCATCATCATCATCATCATCATCATCATCATCATCATCATCATCATCATCATCATCATCATCATCATCATCATCATCATCATCATCATCATCATCATCATCATCATCATCATCATCATCATCATCCAAAAGAAGAAATCTAGTTAGAAACATAATATGCAGTAATAGGGTGTGTTAACTTGTCATATCTACTAATTCCTGGATATTTAAAAAAATAAAAAAATATACACCTTCATCTTATATCCTTATTACAGTTTCCTTTCAATCTTTATTCCGATTACTTTATTGTAATTTATCAAAACCTAATTCTTTAAATGATATGATCGGTCGATGAGAATAGTTTTCTTTTTTTACTTTTTTTGTGTTTTCCCCTTACTTTCTGTTTCTCTCATAGCTATGAACAATTTCAATGAATTCAATCAACTACTATCTTTCGTCATTTGGTTCTAATAGAGTAAAAAAAGACCCAAAATGTAGAGTTTAATGGTTTTATTTTTAAAGAATTTTATTTATTTGATCAATCAAACATTTTCATGTTAGAAAACATAACTAGAAGAATTTAGGAGGGATGTTGTGGATATCATAATAATTTTAGCGGTTGAAATCATGAATCAATTGAAGTTGAACCACCATAGAAAACCTTGAAGCACTGAACGGCTGTTTCGTCCTATTGTTGGAGTCCTCAGCCGTTGGATACCGGCTCAGTGGTCTAGAGGTTAAACGCTTGCATGTGAAACTGGTAGGTCCTGGGTTCGAATCTCGCAAGGCGGGATCGTGGATGCGCGCTGCCACTGAGGAGTCCTACAATAAGACGAAACGGCCGTTCAGTGCTTACAGGTTTTCCATGGTGGTCTAGCTCCAATTGATTCATGATTTCAACTATGAAAATACTGAAATCACCACAAAACCCCTTCTAATTCTAATTATCCTAATCATGAGAACCTTGTTAATACTAATAATGACAATAACACTAATAATAAATCTACAATGAATACAAATCACCTGAAATTGAACTTATGAGTCAATAGAATTCAACTAGGCATCTTGATAACTTTGTATACTTCAAAACCCGAACATTTTGTGTTCAACATCGTATAGATTATCAAAGGGATTCTAGTGAAGAGTTCTGTACTTACCTGATCTTCATTTCTACTTCACTTAGTGTTTACTGGCATTGCACCATCACTTTTAAAGGATTTCGTTAATTGTTTTTATCATCATTACCACATAAGTAGGGATACCTGCATTACAAATTAGTTATCCAACCGCTATAAAAACATATTCGCATGGTTTATTCCATCTTAACACTATCACTTAATTTGATGTTTGTAAATAAACCTGAAAAAAAGTATTGTTCTCCAAATTTCAAAATAGAGTTAACTATCTTATTTAAGTAAGATAAAAGAGATAGTATTGATTTACAGCCTCTTCTTTTAATCACTAAGCGGAGTTTATGAGAATTTTTAAATTTCATCATTAACATTAGAAAACTGATCTAAGTAAGTCAACTGTTGAGAATCAGAAAGCACTAGATAGCTGCTTCGTTCTATTAAATTCAAAGTCTCCACAAACCTCTTGAAGAAGTTAGTCAAGGTCATGATAGTGACTTATTTGAAGAGTTAATTCTAGGAGTTGCAGTAAGAAGTTGTGACTAGTGGAGCTCACTCATGTTGAGTGTAAGATAGTCACTTATCAATGGATTGATTTAGGTTAAACATGTAAACCAGTAAATTACAGCTCAGTAGTCTATAGTCTAAGCGATTACTCGCATAAACCAAAGGTTCCATGTTCAGTCTATGAAGGTGGGGTAATGAATATGAGGAGTCCCATAGATATATCCAGTATTTTACTAAAATAACCATATATTTAACCATCATTGTGAGAAAAAGTAATTGTGACTTAATGGGATGCTGTAAAGTGTACTTTGAGTATTAACTCACACATAGAATATACTTTTATAAAAACGGTTCTACTGTAGTGAACGAGAACTCAGGTAGGGAGAATCAATTTACTGTTTAATGTACCATCACATAGCGATTGAATAAGATGTAAAAAATCATACAAAAAGCTAAAACATTTACACATCTTTAAATTGTCTCTCACAAACTTCATTGTTCTTTCATTTCTTTTTTTGATCTTGATTACTTTTAGTTTCCTTCTCTCTCCTCTTCAATATTATTTCGTCTTTCACTATTTAAATACCAACCAGCGTTAATTGTAGTTAAATATAATGATTATTGAGGAATCCAAAACAAACAAAAAATACCCACAGTCAACATTAAAGATAAGATATGTAAATCCATACTTATGCAAATATGTTAATGGATCCTATTTTGTATGAATAAAAAAGCATACATAGTTTAATGCATTCATTTAATTTAACAAGAAAAATACAAATACGATTTACATATCGAATGTATTAAGTTGGTCCGCATTTTTTGTTGTTGTTGTTGGTAAGATACTCAAGTAACCAGAAGTGACAATGGAATATGAATACAACGATGGTATCTATATTGACAACAAAATAAACATATATCACTCACGTTCTTTTAAAAAAAGTATTTCTGAAAAGAAAAAATATAACATTTTTATAGTTGAAATCATGAGTCGATTGAAGCTAGACCAAAATGAAAAACCTGGAAGCACTGGATAACTGTTTCGTCCTATTATGGGACTCCTCAGTGGCAGTGGGCATCCACGATCCCGCCTCTCGAGATTCAAACCCAAAAACTATCAGTCTCGCGCCAGAGCGCTTAACCACTAGATGAAACATTTCTTTTGAAAGACAAACGAACGAAATATAATACTTAAATAAACCTAAAACAATTAAAGTAGTATGATATAAATTCATTTTATTGTTATTTTGACTTCATTTAACTTCAAATAAAAATAATGTATATATATATATAATAAATCAGTGAATAGGAAAATTAAATTTTCTTCAATTTCATGACTCAATATAAGCTACTGCTTCAGTAAATAAATAAACAAATTAAATTAACCCAAGTTTAAATAGTAGTATATAGTAGTATTATAACATTTTGGTCAAACTGATTTATGTGAGCCATGATTGTACATTTGTGTAAGTGTTACTAGGTGGAAAAATGTGACATTAGTAATGTGGAAGGATAGAGTTGAATTTTTATGTAGGACAACATTGTTAGGTTTGAACAAAATCAGGCATAGTAGCTCAGACAGATGGTCCAAGTTGGATGGTATAGTAAGGGATTCTTTTCCATTGAGGTTAGTAGGATTTAGCAAGATATGGGATGCTTCAGCTACTCACCTAGTTGGAAAAGCCTTTTAGTACTATTTTGATATTTTAATATCGACTTGATTGTTATTGAAGATGGAATGAACTGCTATTATCGACATAAATAGGAGTTTTTCAAGTTCTACTCAATGCTCAGTGTATTTGAAATTATCGAATCAAACCATACAAATTTAGTGAACTTCGTAAAGGGAACCAAGTGGATGGAATATCTTTAAAGCAGATATGGGTTTTATAAGCAAGGGAATTCTATATCCTCATTTTTGATATTTACTGTTTCTATCGATCATTTCTTATTGGCATATGAGCACATTTTTGTATATGTGTTGATTTTACCCTTCTTTTAATAACACTGTCATTTTATGTTTGTACATTTGACTAGAAGTGGAATCTAGGCTACATACTTCGATAACACTAACCGTTTATTGTTGAATATCGACAAAAGAGTAATTCCACAATTAATTTACAAAGCACTTTGTCATTCGTTTTAAGAACCTTAGCAACTACACAATTAGAACACTTTAGTACTGATAAGACTTATCATCCTAACCTATAACTCTTCAGCAATACTTACTTCTGTTCACTAACAAAGCTGAATTGTATACTGCCATTATTCGTAAAAAGTATGAACGTAGTGTAGTGAAGAACACAGATGAGGACAGCCGATTATGTATTTAGCTCAAATTACAAAGTTGTTTGATAAAATAGAAAAACCATACTATGATACTTCATTAGCAAAATATACATTAATTGTCTCAGGCTTCATTGTTCCAGGATTTTCACACCGATTTCTTTCTGTTTCTGTTCTTTTCTTTACGATTTTCTCAATCACTTACTGCCAGATATTCTATTCCTGACTCACGATATATACTACTTATGTTGATATAAGTAGCCCACACCCCAATAGTACAGTATGAAATTGGAATTATTTTCAGTAATTTCATGATCATACTCTACAGTTAGAAGTCCTACTATACATTTTATTTACACGATTTTTATTTTATTATTACATGATTATTAGATTGATTATGACCTGACACTGTTTACTACAAATCACTGTGAATTTGATTGAATGAAATTTATAATTTACAAATAACAGGATTTTGAAGTAACACCAAATGGACTCGAATCCAGAACCTTCAATCTCACGCGTGAATGCCTAACCTCTTGACCACTGAGTTGAACGACATCAAACGATGTTAGTGTGTAACTTCAGTCGATCCATGATCTTGCGCAATCCTTCATCCATTTCTTGAAGTGGATAACTTTCTCCACCCAACACGGATTGAATTCTACTGGTCACGACTTCTTATCAGTCAAAGCTAGATCATTATTTCTGGCCCGATGGTCTAGAGATTAGTCATTGTCACGCGATACAGAAAGTTTTGAGTTCAAGTCTCAAGTGTAGGATCGTGGATGTGTACTTGAAGAGGAATACCATATTAGAAGAAAATAGTCATCCAATGCTTCCACGTTTTCAATAATAGTCTAGCTTACATTGAGTCGATAACTTAACTGTTAAAATGTTAATATTTCAAAAATGATGAATGTTTCCTTGTCATAAAGTTTTTGTGAACATTCACTATCCATTAGTTCTATGTTAGAAACTAAACAATCGTCCTAGTTTCTACCGGCTGTTTAACTTCAGTGATTTTTTTTTGTTTCTATGAATTTGTTTTTCTCCATTTATAGTAATTAACTAATCAAATTTCGTCAACAACAACAACAACAACAACAACAACAATAACCAAATAAAAATATCCAAAAATCAAATAATTACAAATGTAATAAAACGGATTGATAAACAAACAAACAAACAAACAAACAAACATTATTCTCCTGATCATGACTACATATTATACCGAAATGGATAGTAATATTGTTTGACAAAATCTCATCAATTTATT